GCACATCATATGTAGCCTGCCTCGTAATTCTTTTAAAGGGTTCCTTTTTTCCCCCTTTTATAAGGCTACGACTGACCGTCCTGTCCGAGCCAAATCCACCCAGTGAGACTGTTCTCTTTTTAATTGGATGGACGAAGCAGTTTGAATAAAGCCGTTGGGATGAAATGCAAAATGGGCATAAGGGCATATATAAAAGAAAAACACAAAAAGTGGCCAAGTGGAGCGTGTGGAGGGGGAAGATGCCCTTGCCAGCTCGTCACACTTATTCGATGCGCGGTGTTCAAGTAAAAAAAAAAAAATGCATTAAAAAAGCGCTTTTGGAGGAGGGAGACAGTCTTTTTTTTATACCCTCGCTGGGGGCTATCTTTTCACTGAGATAAAAAAAAAAACTCACCTCCCCTGGGATTACTTCTCCCGCGTGCATACTTTAACAAAAAAAAAAAAAAAAAAAAAAAAAAAGGTGGGGACTCAGCGGCTATATAATATGACAACACGGTATATACAAACGGCGCCCCCGACCCCTACGTACAAACACCCCCCATGCGGCAAATGGGCACAACGAACGGCAGCCGCCGCTCAACCGCTCAACCGCTCAACCGCTCAACCGCCGCGTTTATTACGCCAGAGAGAGGAGCCTAATAATCGGAGGAGCTGCTGTCCAGCTCATCAAAGTTGTCATTTGGGATGTTCGCAAGCATGACTAAAAAAAATAAATTCTGTTGCAGCCGCTCAAACAAGGGGATGCATTCGTTTCTCAGTCCCTCCTTCATGAACTCATTAATGGCATAAAACAGCTGATCGTTTTCATTCACTTTTTTTTTTATTTTTTTTCTTATGACATTGTTCGACTCATCTGGGTCTTCCGCATTGGCGCTACTTGAAGGCATCTGGTCAGACGCCCGGGGGTGTTTTCTCCTCGCGGCTTCTACATCGAGGGGCCCAGTTACACCTCCAGAGATACGCGCCGCTACACGTCCCATGATATGTGCCGCTACACCTGCATATACTTCCCCTTTTGCACAAACCATTTTCCCCACTGCCTCGGGGGCCAGTCCTCCTTCACCATTTGGCTCCAATTTGTTTTGCTTCACCCTTGGGTTAATTTCACTTCCGTTGTCACAGGAGAATTGCTGAAGGGGGACGTTGATGGGGTGGACCCAATTGGAGGACGACACGGACGGCGACAAAGATGACTGTTTTAACCGCAGTGGGTGAGATAGCGGTTGCTGCCTTAACCGCAGTGGGTGAGATAGCAGTTGCTCTCCCTGACGGTTACTCACCTCTGTCTCGTCCACAAACGCCTTGCGCTCGCTCCCCACAGCGGGTTGTTCCACCCCGGGGGTGTCACCATCACTCAATGGAACAGGTCCATTTCCACCTGGGCACTGCTCTCCATTTTTTTTCCCGTTGTTCGATTCACCCACATATGTGTCACTTGTGGCCTCCTCACGATTTACTTCTGCGTGACTCGTTTTAATTACTTCATTTTTTTTGTCATCGTTAATTATGAATCCCATGCTTCATACTTTTTTAACATGGCTAACGGGGGAAAAATATATATGGTTTAAGGAAAAAAAAAGAAAAAAAAAAAAAAAAAAAAAAAGAGGACTACTAACAAGCATGCACGTGCTTCGCGTGTCACATGCTACATGTTTCTCGTTGGAGTACCGAAATAGGCAGGTGGAGAACGGGAAAGCATATATATATATATATATACAGCGACAAAGGGGGAAAACAGTGGGTTTAAAAATCGGGTTATGGCGCCAGGGTATGCACAAAAAAGAGAGGTTGGAAGAAACCCTCATAAGCCCTATACACGGTACGGTTCACGTTGGGCACGCGTTGAGGGGGGAAAAATATATATAACCGTTCGCAAAGGTTACCGGGGAAAGGAGGAAACACGTAAAACAAAAGGGAAACAAGTATAAAAATGAGAAACGAGTAAAAAAAAGGAAATGAGTACAAAAAAAAAAAAAAAGAGGGCGCATATCAAAAGGAGATGGCTGGGTAAAATTTTTTTTTTTTTTTTATAAATTATGCACGCGTCGGTTATATGCATAAAATAATTTTACATAGCGGATGGCCCAAAGCAACGCAACGCAGTGCAACAGTGTAGTTGCTTCCGGGCGAACACTTACAAGTACACAACACAGTTCTCAGTAGGTTAGGTCACTGGGGGAAATGCGTACGAGAGATGGCTTCGTAACGTGTAGCCGTATTAAAATATAACGCGCAGAGTTGACGCGCGATATTATATATTCCTCGCTGTGTCCTTTGTTACTCATTTGGGGTCATATGTTGTATTTATATGTGTGTTCCCAGGGGAACAACAACAAAAAAAAATTATATTAACAAGGAGGCAACGTTGTACCCAACCCCACTTGTTTAAACTTTTGTTCTTTGGAGGAACCGTGCTGGTGTGGTATTTTTTCACCAGGCACAACGCAGCCTGAACACAACTGCTGCCACCGCCCGGGGGGGACAGCTAAAACAAATTGGCCCAAACGGGGACCAGCCAGCAGGTGATGGGGTGACCCATGTTCCGCTTCTTCCCAGTGATAGAAAAAAGAGAACAATTCGACGAAAAGAAATTTTTTTACATCCAATTGGAAAAAAAAAGAACACTACTTTGGGCAAAGAAAAGGGGAGATGCTTGCCGGACGAAATCAAACCACTCCTTCATGTGCAAGTGTAAACAATGGTCACGTATAAATAATCGCCACGTGTATAATATATATGTCTTTGTAGTTTCTATATAACTTTTTCCCCATATAGATGATATACCTTACTGAGTTGCTTTTCTCAGGCAGTACTCTCCCTGCCATACGTCTTTCCCCTTCGAACGTGTCTTAAAGGGGCACCTCTTCGAACAAAATCCCCAACCAGAGGTTAATGTGTTAATCTAACGTGGGAGAAAAAATGCCATCAGCGCACTGCGTCTGTGCTACGTAAACAACACACATGGAGGTTAAAACGCATCGAATAAGCTGCTCTCTTCTGCTCCTCCTCCCGCCACATCGTGTCTTCACACCAACGTGTAAGGGTTTACAAATCAAGCCATACTTTTGGAAAAAGTTTCTTCTAAAAAAAAAGTTCATTATTATATAAAAGGTAAGAAAAAAAAATGTCGCAAAAATGTTGCAAAAAATGTTGCAAAAAAGTTGAAAAAAAGTTGAAAAAATGGGGGGAAAATGAAAAATTAAAGAAACTGGAAAAAAGGGCAGCCACATGCTACTTCACTCCGAGGGGTCTATAAAAATACTAAAAAGGACAGGAAAGAAAAAAGAAAAAAAAAAAAAAAAAAAAAAAAGGCAAAAGAGGCCACACCCATGTGCGCATCGCCAAAAGGGCGGGAGGAGGGAAGGCAGCCTAGCCTGAGAAGACGATTTCTGGGGCCAAGTGCAGCACGGAGAAAGTGCTCATCTGATCCTTGTACTCTTCCAAATCGAGGAGGAGGTCACCGTTGACATCGAACGAGTAGAAAATGTACTGCAAGTTGCGCACAAGCGAATCGTCCACGTGGAGTTCCTCCCGGAGGTAACTGAACAGGGCCTCCCGCTTCGCTCCTATGCGATGGCCACGCTCCTTATCACCGTCTCCCTCCATATAAGCGCGCAACTTTTTATATGTCTCCCCGTCGTGACTAATATAAAAGAGCAACTCAGGCAAGTCTATGCGCCCATCAAAATTCAAGTCCAAATGGAGAAAATTCGCCAGGTGGTCAATTTGCACGAGAAGGGATAGCTGAAAATTCTGAAATTCCTCAAGTTGCAATTTCTCATCTCCATTCATATCCCATTTCCTTGTTTCATTTTTAAAAAAATTTTTCACCAAAGATTGAACGAGCTCATCCTTTCGAGTAAAAAAATACACGTCTATGTCTTCCATCACATCGTTCACTACGCTGTCCAGGAACTCTGAAAAATATATCTTCAAATAATTATAAATTGTATTCTCCTCAACTACCTTCCCTTCATCAAATAAAATTTGAATGAGCTTCACGTAATTGAAGTCGTACGAATTTAGGGACAAGAATTCCACGTAATTAATTTTGTGGTCCTTGTTTACGTCGAACAGATCGAATAGGTAACTCAGCACCTTCTCATTTATGCTCCTGAGTTGAGACAATATACTTACGTTCGTTTTGAATTCGTTCAAGTCTATCACGCTGTTGTTGTTGCTGTCTAGTTTTTTAAATATGATGCGAGACTTGGCCAGGATTTGCTCGTTCAGAGCTGGGTTGTTCGTGTCGACGGTGAAGTCGCTGTGTCCATCTGCGTGGTGGTCTGCATGGTGGTCTGCATGATGGTCTGTGTGGCGACCATCGCGGTGCGCAAGGCCGGAACCGTCCCGCACGCTCCTCCAGTCATTATGAAAAAAATCCTTGTGCACGACAGAACCGCCACATATGTACAGAGCGTCCACTTTGTAAAAATTTTTGCGCAAAAAATCACACACCTTCTTGCTAGACACTTGTACAGAGAAAAGGCTACTTTTTCGTTTTACAAAATTTTCGGTTAAAAAAAATGCAGCCACGAGGGAAGCGAGAACGAGAGCATGCGACAGAAGGGCATCATGTCGTGCCCAAGGGAACTTCAGGAGCTTCATGTTTTTTTTTTACAGGTATAAAAGGCGCGCCTATACGGAAATGTGCAAAATAAGGGCCTCCGGGGGATGAGTCACTTGAGTCAGGATCTCTCGCCTGAGAGTGAGAATTTGCTGCACTTAGCTACTAATAAGGGGAGGTGAACTGAAGAAAAAGGGAAGCGCCTACTTCCCCTCAGAAACATATTTACAAACTATATCGTGCAAACATCCCTCCCTATTCAAATTAAGGAAGTTAAAAAAAAAATGTAGAAGTAAAAGGATGCTGTGTTTATGAGATGGACGAATTAATTCTTACAAAAGCAGAAAAAGTAGACAGGAGATGGAAAAATGAGAAACAACATAGTCAACGTTGTTTTTGAGGAAAAGCATATTTTATGTGGAGTATTTAATTATAGCATACATTTCAACGTGGGAAAAAAAAAAAAAAAAAAAAAAAAAAATAGGTGCACATGAGACGGGATATAACGCGTCACAGGCAGTTATTGTTAATTTGTTTTTTTTTTTTAATTCGATCAGTTAATGAAGTTGAAAGGTGATAAACGGTAAGGGTAGGAAGTTGCTGTCACTCCGTCTTTACACACGTCTACACTGAGAAAGTCGCATGGGCGAGACTTAACTTAGCGCAAGTGTTTATCGGCAGATGATGCCTCCGGGTTGACACAGCGGCGGAGTCTTCCAAATTGTGGAAGAGGAAATCAGTAGGTAAATTAGGCAAATTAGGCAAATTAGGCAAATGAATAAATGAACT